AGAGAAAAAGCACTATCTTAAAAGTAATTTTTGAATGAATATGAATAATCAAACTCTAGCAGTCTTATTTAGTACTCTCTAGTTCTAATAATCCTACTTTTTATATATATATATTAATAATCCTACTTTTTATATATATATACATATATAATATAGTTATATATATTATATATATATTATATATATATATATATATATATATATATTATATATATATATAGGCTTAGCAAAGAGCCCATGCATTTAATTTCAAAGAATATTTTGTTTATGGGCTTCATTTTTGCGAGTCAAAACATTAAATATAAAATAGGAAAATTACAGTAAATGTTAATTTGACTTTAAGATTTAAATTATTGTCATATGTGATATATTTTTACTATTTTTAGTGTTTCCTTTTGTATAAATTTGGTATTTTCACCTTTATTTCCTTTTTTTTAGTATGTTAATAATATTTTTCTACAGTCGTTTTTTCAGCCCTCATTATTTTCCGATGATTCTTTCTCCTTTTGCTGTCGTCCATTATTTTCTTATCGTTCTTTCTCCTTTTGCTGTCTTTCTTCTCATTATTGATGTTGTTCCAAGGTTTCATTTTTTATTTATAATGTATGTTGATTTCTTTTTTTGATCTATTGTTATTGTTGAGAATATCTTTATCAATTTTTTTATACAATCAATAAATACTGTAGAGATAAGATAGGACTCTTAATTCTGTTTGGTTGATACAATTCAGTATATATGTATACACTGTATTTACTTGATTTGATCCAATGCTTTAATTGATGTACATATATTTATTTTGTATTTAATTGATTTTACAATATTTACTGATATAGTGTGCGTGTGTGTGTGTGTGTGTGTGTGTGGCGTGTGTGTGGGTGTGTGTGTTGTGTGTGTGTGTGATGTGTTGTGTGTGTGGTGTGTGTGGTATATATATATATATATGTATTATGTATTTAAATCGATTTTACAGTATCCTCGATAGTGTGTGTGTATATATATATATATATGTATTATGTATTTAATCGATTTTACAGTATCTACAGATACAGTATATATATATGTTGATTTTAAGAATAGGACTTTGGGAAAAAATTTGTTATGTATTTCATTTATTTCAATGAGATCCTATACATCCTATTTATACACAAGTATCAAATTCAAAATAGGAAAAGAACAAATAAGGAAAGATATTTCAAATCAACAAAGTCAACACTCCCCCTTAAGTTGGTGCATAGATATTGCACATGTTCAACTTGCAAACCAAGTTATGAAATTGTTTGCTGTTAAGCCCTTTAGTAAAAACATCCGCTATTTGATTATCCAAAGTCACATGAGCAAGTTTCAAAACACCTTGGATGGCTTTTTCTTTTATGAAATGTCTATCAATCTCTATGTGCTTTGTCTAGTCATGTTGAACTGGATTTTGAGCAATACTAATTATGGCCTTGTCATCACAAAACAAAGTCGAATCTTCTCCTTTCGACATTTGCAATTCTTTCATTATCTTTCTTAGCCATAACAATTTGCAAACTCCTTGAGCCATAGCTTTATATTTCGCTTCCACACTCGAACGTGCTACTACTGTTTACTTTTTACTTCTCCAAGTAACTAGGTTTTCTCCAACAAAGATACAATAACCGGAAGTTGATCTCCTATCATTTGGAGATCAAGCCCAGTCAGCATCAATAAAGGCTTGGTTTTGAGGTGACCATGTTTAGAGAAAAGTAGACCTCTTCTAGGAGCAGACTTTAGATATCTTAAAATGTGAAAGACATCTTCAGGATGAGAACTACGAGGATCATGCATATATTGACTAATAAGACCTACAACATATGCTATGTTAGGTCTAGTATGTGAGAGATAAATCAATCTGCCAACCAATCTTTGATATTAACCCAAATCAACCTATTTTCTAATTCCTGCTTCTAACTTGTGATTAACTTCAATGGGAGAGTCAGCTGGTTTACAACCCAACATGCTAGTTTCTTTCAAGAGATCCATGATATATTTACTTTGAGATAGAAAGATCCATTTATCTGATCTAGCAACTTCTATACTCAAAAAATATCTCAGACTTTCTAAGTCCTTAATCTCAAACTCTTGAGCCAACAACTTCTTTAATCGAGCAATCTCTTCTTCAGCATCTCCAGTTACAACCATATCGTCAACATAGACAATTAGTAAAGTGATCTTACCATTACAATGTCTGATGAACAAGGTATGATCAACATTACTTTGAGAATAGCCAAAGGAAATTGATATGTGTTATTTTTATAGAATTTTTAATATAGTTTTTATTAGGATTTTTAGTATTTTAATTAATTTTATTAGTTTTTATTTAGTTTTAATTATGTTTTTGTTCAAAGATTTCTTGAATCATATTTCGCTTGATCTTGAGGAAATTTGTAGGATTTTGATGTAGAAAAGAGCGAAGTAAAGCAAAACTCTTAAAGGCTGGCATGCCTTAGGCGTGCAACTCAGCACCCCCGTGTGGGATTCAAGGGAAATTAACATAGAGACTCAGAGCGTAGCATGCCCAAGTTGCGATATATGGCATGCTCGTGCCTCAGAAATATATCGATCCAAGGGCGTGCTCACCTGAGCACGGACTATGCTGCGTCCACCCTGGAATCACAGAGCCTAGCACGCCTTAGCCGTGCGAATCAACACTCCCGTGCCACAAATTTGTTTCTGAACGTGCTTACCCCAGCACGCCCCATGCTGCGATCACCTTAGAACTCAGACTCTAGCATGCCCAGGCCGTGCCCTATATTACGCCTGTGTTGAAGACCAAATTTTGCCTTGGGCCAAGAATGTCAACTCCAGCCCATACCGCTTGCATGGACTCGTATGAAATGCTTTTCTAATTTGCCAACCAAGTTAAATCCTATTTTGACACATGGGAGAGTCCTTATTGGGAAGAAATACAAAGCCTAAACAGTCTCTTATCTCTAAAAGATTTCTTACTCAGTAAATATTCTATTTCCTAAACGAAGTTGGTGTTTCCCCTAGAAGTCTATATAAAGGGTGGAGCCATTCATTGTATATCCCATCTCTGGTTCTATTGTTTTCTCTCTCTGTAAGATTTCAAGTGCTCAAGATCTGTATCAAGATTCAAGGAAGCCGTCCACATTGATTGGTGACTAGTTTTTATCTCTAAACTCTTAATCTTGCTTTATTTTTCATTATTCATATTGATTATGAAATTATTCTCAAGTTTAATTGAGTTTTATTTAATTACTATGTCGAACTAAATTCTCATACTAGGGATATGATGTAGCTTAATTTCGATTCCAATTTATAATATTAGATTTGCTTTTCTTTGTTCAAAGTATAATTAATTTAGATTTGGCTTTTCTTTGTTCAAAGTGATAGATTTCCTTATATAAACATAATGAGCTTACCAAGTAGAGTTTTCTCCCCTGAAGATTGATTTTGGATTTCGATTAATCCCATACGGAGGAATGTTTTTTGATGTGTGGAAAAAAGGTATATATTTAACATTTTAGAAAAATAACTTGATGCAGAAGTATGTTTGGTTTGAACTTATGGGGGTTTTCATAAGTTAACGACCTTAAGGTATAAAATGCACAAAAAGCAAACCATAAAAACTTTATGATTTAATTCATCTTGATTGTGTATTAGAAATAGGTAAATTAAGACTGGGTTAATAGCCCAACAATACCTCCGGAGAGCTTGTTAGTGATTTTTAGGGTTTTCCCCTACTTGGAACAATTTAAAATTGATTATCAAACTAATAAAATAAATGGATAGATTAAGGAAGTCAAAATCCCTAGTAGTTTTTAATCCTTGATTTTTCTTTTCAAATTTTGCCTTGGCTTGATTTCTTCATTCTCTTTTATTTAGTTAAAGTTAATTTCTTAAAATAATTTCCCTTATTGCCCATTTAAATAATATAAGTAGCATAATTTTGGTACTTTTGGATTACAGTCCTCGTGGGAACGATACTCTACTCATTCTTTATTACTTGTTGCGATTTCGTACACTTGCGAGCAAGCCTGTCAAGTTTTTGGCGCCATTGCCGAGGATTGGCATTACTAATATCAACACTAATTACCTATTATTAATTTAGACATTTATTTTTATTTTTACTTTTTTTTCTAGAAGAATATTTTAGGTGTTTATGCAAAGAAGATCTCGTAGAATTGAGCCCTTAGTCTTTGATCCCGAAATTGAAAAAAACTTGTCGTAGGAACAACGCTACTAGGAGAAAACGAGAGAGCAAACAGAGATAGCAAGCAGATATGGCTGATGATTTAGAAACAAGGGATGGACCTCTACCTCATGTCCACACCTTGTGATATTACATAACTCCTTTTAATGGAGCCACCTCAAGTATCACTAGGCCTAGGGTGGAAGCTAATTATTTTGAGATCAAATTTGCAATTATTCTAATGCTTTTCACTTGGGTGGAAGCTAATTATTTTGAGATCAAATTTGCAATTATTCTAATGCTTTTCACTCAAATTTGCAATTATTCTAATGCTTTTCACCTCAATTCAATATGGAGGCCTGCCCAGTGAAGATCCTAATGCCTGTATCACAAATTTTCTAGAGATTTGCGATACATTCAAGCAAAATGAAGTTTCTGAGGATGCCATAAAATTGAAACTGTTTCCTTTTACACTAAGGGATAAAGCACGATCTTGGTTATAATCATGCCCTGCTGGAAGTTTTACTACATAGGAGGAGCTAGCCTATAAATTTTTGATGAAAATTTTTCCATCTTCAAAGACCACAAAGCTTCTCGCAATGAGATAATGACTTTTGCCCACCATGATCAAGAGAGTTTGTATGAAGCTTGAGAGAGATTTAAGGACCTATAGAGAAAGTGCCCGCATCATTGCTTACTAAAGTGGTTACATGTACAAACTTTTTATAATGCATTGTCTCCTAATATAAAAATTACTTTAAATGTAGCTGCTGGTGGATTTTTTGAAAGAAAGGAAATTGATGAGGCATATGATTTGATACAAGAGATGGCAAGCAATAGCCATTATCAAAACAGCTCTGAAAGGAAGAAGCTTGTAGGAGTTTATGAGATTGATGCCATTACCGCACTCAATGCCAAAGTAGATAATATGGTAAGGAAGTTGGACTTATTGACTACTAACTCTGTTGATTCTATTGTGCAAGCATGTGACAGGTGTAATGGAGGTGTAATGGGCAACATGGGATTGGAGAATGCATGTTAGATCCTTTAAATCCGTAAACGTTGGTGTAAGTCAACCATGTGATGAATTAAAGAAGGAAGAATTACCCATATTCTAACTCTTATGATAATAGGTTAAGGAATCATCCTAACCTTTCTTATGGGAATCTAAACAACCCCTTGAATGCACCCCTAGGTTTTCATTCTCAAGAGAAAAAGACTCATGATTATCTCTCACTGCTCTCTCTAAATCTCATATGGACTTCATGAATAAAACTTGGAAAATCATAAAATCCAATTAGCTGCGATAAGGAACTTAGAGATTTGATGAGGGCAGTTTGATAACATGATGGCTTCTAGACCCCAAGGTACGTTACCTAGTAACACTGAGAAAAATTCCAAAGAATAGGTACAAGCTATCACTTTGAGGAATGACAAACAATTGATCACTCTCTGCAGCGGCACTACAAACAATTGGACGCACTCCACCCAGGATGGAGAAGAAAAGAAAGAGCAGAAAAAGACCCCCAATCATTGATCTTGAAGAAAACGAGGAAGCTAAAGCCTTATCGTTCCACCTGTTCTCTCTCTCCAACCAAAGATAAAATGTTCCACCTGTTCCTTTTCCACAAAGACTAAAGAAAACACAAGATGACAAGAGTTTCCTCAAGTTTCTTGATGTTTTCAAAAAGCTTCAAATAAGGCCAGTACAATCAAGCATTAGAATAGAAAAAATTCTTAAAAGAGATCCTGAGCAAGAAAAGGAAGATCAATGATCAAGGAACAGTAATGTTAACAGAGGAGTATAGTGCAATCATTCAAAATAAATTGCCTCCAAGTTAAAAGATCCAGGAAGTTTTTCTATCCTTTGAAAATTGGAAATCTTGATTTTTAAAAAACTTTAGCAGATTTAGGTGCAAACATTAATTTTATGTCTTATGAAGTTTTCAAGATGTTAGGGATGGGAGAGCTGAAACCAACAAGAATGTCTCTACAGTTGGCGGATCGCTCAATCAAATACCCAAGAGAAATTGTGGAAGATGTGCTCATCAAGGTAGGTAAATTTATTTTTCCTAATGATTTTGTTATTCTTGACATTGATGAAGATAGAGAAGGCTCCTTAATCCTTGGAAGACCTTTCCTTGCAACTGGAAGAGCATTGATTGATGTTTATAAGGGCAAATTAACATTATGGGTAGGTCAAGAGGAAGTTGTTTTTGATGTTTTTAAATCTTATAAATTTCCTAAGGATTATAATAATTGATTTAGAATTGATGTTATTGATGAATGTGTAAAAGACACCTTGAATGTTAAAAATAAATTGACCATTGATGATGGTGAGATTACTAATCAAGGCATCAAAGGTGAGGAAGAAAGTGAATCGCCAAAGCAAGAATTAAAACAATTTACATCTCATTTAAAATATGCATTCTTAGGTGAGAATAATTCTTTCCCTGTTATTATTTCTTCTCACTTAACACTTGATCAACAGAAAAGGTTGTTGCAAGTTCTAGGAAAGCATAAGAAAGCTTTAGGATGGTCAATTTCAGATTTGCAGGGAATAAGTCCAAGTGTGTGCATGCATAAGATCTTGATGGAAGAAGGATCTTGATGGAAGAAGACAATAAATCTTTAATTGAGCATCAAAGGAGATTAAATCCAAACATAAAGGAAGTAATCAAAGTTGAAATCATAAAGCTTTTGGATGCTGGCATTATATATCCAATTTCGGATAGTTGGGTAAGTCCCGTTCAAGTTGTCCCAAATAAGCGAGGTATGACAGTTATTTCTAACAAGAATAATGAATTAATTCCTATTAAAACTGTCACAGGTTGGCGTGTGTGTATTGATTATCGAAAGTTGAATAAAGCAACACGCAAAGATCACTTCCCTTTACCTTTTATTGATCAAATGCTGATCAAATGCTTGAAAGACTTGCAAGTTACCCTTACTATTGCTTTCTAGATGGTTATTCAGGGTGTTTTCAAACACCTATAGCTCCCGAGGATCAAGAAAAAGACTACTTTCACTTGCCTTTATGGTACTTTTGCTTATAGGAGAATGCCTTTTAGGTTGTGCAATGCTCCTGTGACTTTTCAAAGGTGTATTGTCCATATTTTCTGACATGGTTGAGAAATTTATTGAAATATTTATAGATGATTTTTCTGTATTTGGTTCTTCTTTTGATTCTTGTCTCTATAACCTTTCTCTAGCAATGCAATGATGTTAGGACACTAACCTTGTTTTGAATTGGGAAAAATATCATTTTATGGTTAGTGAAGGTATTGTTTTAGGATATAAGATATCAGAAAAAGGGATTAAAGTGGATAAGGTCAAGATAGAGGTAATTGAAAAGCTACCACCTCCAAATTCAGTGAAAGGAGTAAGGAGTTTTCTTGGTCATGCAGGTTTCTATAGGAGATTTATCAAGGTTTCTATAGGGAGATTTTATCAAGGATTTCTCCAAAATCACAAAAACCTCTTTGTAATTTATTAGTTAAGGGATGCTCCCTTTTTTGATTTCAACAAAGAGTGTACTTGAATGCTTAACAAGTTTGAAGAAAGGAATTGATTTCAGCTTCCTATCATTGCTTACACCGAAATTGCGGAGCTTACCTTTTGAGACTCATGTTGTAATGGGGGCTTAAAGTGGGATCATGCTATAGGAGCTATTCTTGGGTAAAAAAAAAGAAAAATGAAGTTGGCATGTCATTTATTATTCTAGTCGTAGCATTGAATGACGCACAAATTAAATTTACTGCCACCACTGATAAAATAGTTTCTTGCTATTTTTTGTTTTGATAAATTTAGAGGCATATTTGATTGGAGCTAAAACAATAGTCTACACTGATCACTCAGTTATTAAATATTTGTTTAAAAAAGAAAGAATGCAAAGCCATAAACTAATTCATTGGGTTTCTTCTTTTGCAGGCGAATTGATTTAGAAATTTCGTGATAAAAGGGGAACCAAGAACTTTGTAGCTGATCACTTATCAGAGGCTTGAGTGGGGATAGAAAGGCAAGTAGAGTTTGCAAATTAATGAAGACTTCCCCAATGAAACATCTTCTAGCAAATATGCAAGCTACATGGTATGTGAATTAATAGTTAACTTACCTTGCCTTACAAGATTATTCCTCCAATCTTTCTTTTATCAAACAAAAGAAAAAAAATCTTTCATTGACCTTAAATTATTACCATGGGAGGAGTCTTTCTTGTCAAGTTATTACAGTGACCAACTCTTCAGACGATGCACAATGTGCCGGAAAAAAGAGATGGAAAGTGTTCTTCATTTTTGTTATCAATGGAATATGGAGGACATTTGTGAGTAAGTAAGACGCAGCACGTGTTTTTTAGAAAGCGATTTGTACTGGGCCTAGCTTATTTAAAGATTTGCTTTAACTTTGTTCGTACTTTGTGATCGTTCGTCAAAAGGTTAGGAAATAGCTCCAAAGACATAAGATGCCATTAAAACAATATCCTTGAAGTGGAGATTTTTTATGTTTGGGGCTTGGATTTCCATGGCGACTTTTTTCCATCTTTTCTTTATTTCCAAACCAATGCATTCTAATACGGTGCGATTAATGTTCTCCAAATGGGCAGAGGCTGTTGCTCCTTTCCCCAGCAATTGATGTAAGAGTGTGATGAAAAAATTCATTAAGAGAAATGCATTTTCACACGGTTCATATGTACTCCTAGAGCAATAATCACGGACGGAGGAAAAATTTGCACTCTAGGTGGTCTGGACCATTCACAAATCAAAGAAAATTTTCCACATGGACAGGTGGTTGAAATAGTGGGATGGAAGTCGGAAGTTTATCAAAGTCAATGCTCAACGATTAAAAGTTTACAAAAATTTTGGGACTTTTGATTCCAGTCAAAACCCACTATAAAATCTTATTTTAATCTTTTGCCTAAATTAGGTCTAGTTGGCGTCCAACTTAATGAACCATTTAAACGAAAGCACTTGTGGGAACAACCCATAATTCTTTTTCTCTAAATCCCCCTTATTTTGATTTGTCTTTTACTTCTTTTCTCCCAAAATTCTTTAATCATTCTTGTTTCCTTTGATTGTTAGCAAGTCCTTTCAAGGTTTAAAAGTTGAGGCACCAGTTTTTAGCACGCCCGTTGTAAAAGTTTGCAAATTTTAATTCCTCGCGAGGTTATGCCCTAGCGTAGCCATGTAGCACGCCCATATCAGGTAAGATAAAATTTTTTCGCAGGTACAGAGGCTTAGCACGCCCATGCTGATGTTCATATAGGCATGGCCCGTGCTACAAATGAGAAAGTCGATCTCAAACCATGCTCATCAGCACGCTAGTTTTAGCCACCGCCTCAAAGACTTTCAGAAGTCCGCACGCCTAGCTGATGCTCCATAGGCACGCACGTGCCATGTTTGCAAGATTCTCTACTTTTTAAAGAAGCACGCCCTTTTGGTTACCATTGCAACCCTTCACTTTCTCTGCTATTTAAAGAGCATGCCCCAACCCTCTTCCTTCATCTCTCCTGATTCTTATTTCTCTCTACAAAAACTGGAAAACCCTCTTCTCTTCTCTTTTCTTGATTTCACCAAATGCCTCCAAGGATATTAAAAAGAAGCGAGATTTTGCCTGCTTCAGTGGCTGGAAGGAACTCGGGCCAACGGTCCTCCTCCCACAATTCCTCTCCCACGGCTCCTGCTCCTCAACCGTTTGAGTTTGGACGTTTCTAGAGCAACAAGAAAGGTACAATAAATTCTCTCTTCGACAATTTTGCCTAATCGCTTTTATTGATGAGACTGCTTTTAGCAAAAGTAGGGCCTTAGAGATGTAGTTTTTAAAACCTCTTTTAAGCGCATTTGGGGTGGGAACAAATTTATTGGCAAAGCTTACTTTTTTTCTGCAATTAGAGGACTGGCTACTTCCATCCAAAGACTGCTACTTTTGCCTCCGTAACTTCATCCAAAAAGGGCAACTTCCTCAGTCAGAGTATACGGTGAAGAGAGGACGCTTTCAGGAATGAAAGATTTTGTATTATGCACCAATTTGACCTTTTAGAATTTATGAGTTCATTATTCTTGCTAAATATTCTTTTACTGCCTGATGAGTAGCCCTTATAAAATTAAGTTTAGACTTTTTTGCCAAAAATTATAAGCTTTCAGTAAACTGAGGTTAGTCTATATTTGGTTTTCCACTGAAAATGCCATTAAAAAAATGACCCAAAGATTTATATGATTTCAGGGCACATGGAAACAAACACTGACTTGGGAGATGGGTATAATCCTAGATTGTCTCCAAAGCTCTAACTTGAGAAAAACCATTCATATATTGTAATATTCACAATATTTTTTGGCTAACAACGATTTTGGGCGTAGAAAGCAAGTTGAGAGTGATGAGGTGTTGAGTTCCTAAATGAACTATACTTTATGGGGGCAATGGATCAGGAATACTTTCTTAATGTTGGCTTTTCTATGCCAACGATGGGCAGAATTGCCACTTAGCAAAAAAGGAACTAAATATTGATGGGGTGTTTTGTAAACCCGTATTGCTTCTTATTTTGAGAGCATGGAACCCATTCGACCAATCCTATGACATTATGGAGATGAAAGGGTTACTAGACTTGACTTAGATGTCATGGTTCATATTGAAAGTTATTAGAGAAGGTAGGGCAATATGTTGCCGTATTATAAATCCCAAAGAAAGAGAGTTATGATAATGAGGAAGCTAAAAGAGGGCTATGATACTAATATGGGGAGAAGGATTAATCCACATACCTTTCTCACAGTTTTGCGTACTTTTTCTGGTGCAGGTACAATGTGGAGCTGATCCTTCCTTTCAGGAGCGCATCTTGGATTTGTTAACGCAAAGTTTCTGCAATGCTATGATTGTCTAGAATGACATGATTTGAATTGCCTCACCTTCATGGGATGGAGACCATGATTCTTGACCGGGTTCCAGTCCATAGAAAATTATGCATTGGTAGCCTCGACTCTCGAATTAAGATACCATGCAAGGCTAATATCAGGAATTGCTTATTCAACTCAAACTGTTGATAAGTTTCTTTGCAGCGCATCCACCTCCACCAACCTGAGCAATTTTGATTTTATTTTTCATCGTTTTTTTTCAAATTTTTTTGTAGTAAAATATTTGGGATTATTATGTTTTATTTTTTTTTAGTGTTTTCTTTTTCATTAGCTTTGAACAATATTCAGCTCCCAGCTTTCATTCATATCTTTTCCTTCAATTTTATTGTATTTTTCAATACAATAGTGGTAATGGTTTCTCCAGGTTCTCATATTCCTTTAACACATCTTTGATAATTATGGTTTAGTTTGGGGAATTTATTTTACGCACCATTCTGGGGACAATATGCTAGAATTAAGTTGGAAGGAAGGAAAATTTCAGTTAAAATTTTTAGTTTTATTTGTTCATTAGCTTAATAATGGTTGGAATAGTTGTGAGTAAGTTAAAAATTATCATACATTTTATTAACTTTGCGGTGAATTTTCCAATTGTTTTTTTTGGAAGCTAGTTGTTTTGAGCTTGATTAAATTTTAACTTAATATGATTCTTTGAATTTAACCGTTTTGTTTTTAAGATCATAAACACCTGATTTTTGTGAATTTTATGGATATATAGGTATGATTTTTAATTCAAAAATTTTATTTAACTTTGGCATTCCTTAGAACAAATTTAGAATGTCCCTTTGAGGTTAAAATTTTAAATGCTTTACATTAAAAAATAGATGATTTTAGGCATTTTTTGTTGAACTTCATATTTTAGCCTTAGGCCACCTAAGTTAAAGTATGACCTTGCAACCAATTTGAAGCTTATAACCAAAAAATATTTCTTGATAAACCTTATTGAACCTAGCTATTAAACCAATTTAAATTCATACTCTAAGTTGCAAATAATACATAAATTGAAGGATATTGATTTTATTAAAACATGAGCAACAAAATTGAAGAAAATTATTAATACTTAGCAAGTTGAAGCAAGGTTAGAAAAAAAACTCAAAAGAGAAACACCCTATAAAAGAAGAAAGCCAATCAATCAAAAAATTCAAGTTGCGGGAATTGAAGCAAGGAGACAGATTATCAAATGAATTATGAAAATGGAGACCTGCCAAAGTATCTCTAAAATTTGAGCTAGTTGAAGAACTTTCAAGTTACATCTCTCTTTACAAATAAAAATTTATTTTGATATAATGAAAATCTGATATTATGCATTCTTTGTGGCTTTTTTGTCTATTTTTTTTTATTATTTTTCTTTGTTTAGCTTTAAAAGTATATCCCTAAAACCCCATTTATTACCTTAAGTAAAACACCTTTGATCTTTTAATTGCATGCCACCTTCGATTGTGGAAAGGGATGACTAATTTTGCTGAATGAGAATATTTGAATTTATTATTGTTAAACATCTTATTTGAAAGGGTTTAAATAAATTTTTTATGAG